CAGTGAGGATCGTTTTTACTTTGTGGCGTGTTCGGTTTCAGTTGGCTCATGTTAGCATTAGCTTGTTGTTAGCACTAGCTGCTGCAGGCAGTGCCAGGGTTGTTTACATCAGTCAAATTTCCATCTTCAGCCAGTTGGAGGGAGATACAGGAAAATTATTTAGGGTTGCTTTAAAGGGTATGAGGTTGGTGCTGCCTCCACGTGTGTGTGTGTGTGTGTGCGCGCGCGTGCGTGTTCTCAGGGCAGCCAACTCTCACTGCGTGAGATTATCATTAAAATCTCAGGTTAAAAACACAACAAAAAAGCTGTGTGCCATCCTGAGAGACTGAGTTATTCTAACCACTACAGCGTTGAAATGAGCAAACATTTTTTTCTGTTTGGTTCACTGAAAAAAATTCTGCCGAAAATCTACGTGCAAAGAAATGTGCTTAAATTCAACAATAACACACCAGCGACTGCATAAACACTTCAAATTCTCGCGTCGCAAAATTACACAAATTATTTTCACACACTCCTGCCTGTCCTCATTGGTCTCACACACTCCCACCCAGTCTGCCTGATCCCTCGTGTGTTTTTTTTATCCTAACACACACAAACACACACATAGTGCTCCCACACTCACTCGCTCACATCTGTCTGAGTTTGTTTGCTGTCTGAAGCAGCTCCCTCCATCCTTCACTTCCTCCATCCTTACCTCCTTGCATTCTGTCCTCAGTGGCCATGAGCAGCCAAAGAAACCTTCTGTGTGATGCATGTTGAGACCTTATTGGTGTACTTTAAACAAATTATACAAAAAGCTAGAATTAGAATATCAAAAATCAAATTGTAACTGTTTACATCCCACACCAAAGTTGTGTCTCTTTTTTCCAAACTTCCAACAAATTTAATTAGGAAAGCCTTCAAGAGAGGTTCCAGATTCCCGTCACATGTTTCTTACAAATATGGAACATATTCCAAATTCCTGCAACAGAACAGAAATGCTCTGCAACTCATGGAGGGAAACTGAAATCCTTGGCAGGACTTGAGACGTTTTAAAAACTTCCTCACAAATGTCACTTACAATTTGTCATAGCCAAGAGAGACAATATAGACTTCCATATCCTACAATCAAACTTTTAATTTGAACCTTTAATATAAATTTTTTGCACCCGTAATAGTTGGGGGCTTGTCCGTGATCCCGGACAAGCTGAACAAATGCACGTTCACACAGATTCATACTGCTAAATGCACGTCACCCTCCAGATGTCTGAATGATCAGTACAGAGTATCAAAGTTGTTTTTATGTGTGTGTGTGTGTGCGTGCGTGTGTGAGTGTGATTATGACTTCTGCTGCTGTCAAGCTCCTGGCGTTGACACAGTAAACCGATCCTAAGGGGTCTGAGAGGGGAAACGTCTCCCTGTCACACACCCACACACACACACTCCAGAGAGAGAGGAGAGCTCTAAAGGAGCGGCACTCACACGGAGATTGAGTTACAGCAGAATTAGATCTGAGCTGTGAGAACCAGCCCCTTCTACTGGGCACACACACTCACGCACACACACACACGTGTCTCTTTTTGACACAACAGACGAGCTGGAACACACGCTGAGATGATACGGTATGTGTACACATTCTCTCTCACACGCACATGCTCTCCCACACACACACACACACACACACACACACACACCGGCAGATGCTTATAAACAAACACACAGTCATGAACAGATGCAGGCCGACCCTGAGGAATACTTGTAGAGAGTATGACATCAAAGAAGAACTATGTCATCCCAGAAATAAAACACACGTTTGAACAGGACACGACAAAGTGTGTGTGTGTGTGTGTGTGTGTGTGTGTGTGTGTGTCCTAATCACTTACAGATACGTGTAGCTATCGAATATATGTAAATTCAAGTTGTCCACAGGAGATGGAAGCCTGAGGCGACAACTTAAAATCTGAAGCGAACAATTCTACACACACACACACACACACACACACACACACACACACACACACACACACACACACACACATGCACACACACACACACATGCACACATTAATCTGAGAATATGGATGGTGTTAGCATCGACTTGGATTTGTTGGCTCTAAATTAAAAGGGACAAAAGAGAGGCCCCAACACTACAGACGAGTAAACTCTACATCTTAATTACCCTTTCGTTTGCACATAATGCCTCTCTTTCTCTGTTTATTTTGTGTTTTCCTGCCAAGTTTGTGTTGAAAAACCTGTCGGTCCAACAAGTCCAACTGTGTGTTTCCCCACGACTCAGACTCAAAGAGTCGGGTCAGAGAGGCCAGTTTTGATCTGGAACTGTCCTGATGGGTGGGTAGACGGACGGACGGACGGACGGACGGACGGACGGACGGACGGACGGACGGACGGACGGACGGACGGACAGACAGACAGACAGACAGACAGACAGACAGACAGACAGATAGATAGATAGATGAACAAACAGATGAATGGGTGAACGAATGGATTAATGGATGATGGATGAACAGATGAACAAACAGATTGATGGTGAACAAATGAATGGATGTACAGATGGATGGATGGATAGATGGGTAGGTGGATAGATGGATGATGAACAGATTGATGGATGGATGGATGGATGGATGAACAGATGAACAAATAGATGGATAGATGGATGGATGGATGGATGAACAAATGAACAAATAGATGGATAGATGGGTAGGTGGATAGATGGATGATGAACAGATGGATGGATGGATGGATGGATGGGTAAATGGATGGATGGATGGTGAACAGATAGATGGATGGATGGTTGGTTGGACGGATGGATAAACAGATGAACAAACAGATGGATGGATGGTTGGTTGGATGGATGGATGGATAAACAGATGAACAAACAGATGGATGGATGGTGAACAGATAGATGGATGGATGATTGGTTGGATGGATGGATAAACAGATGAACAAACAGATGGATGGATGGATGGTGAACAGATAGATGGATGGATGATTGGTTGGATGGATGGATAAACAGATGAACAAACAGATGGATGGATGGGTAAATGGATGGATGAATGGTGAACAGATGGATGGATGGATGGATGGATGGAGCATCTCGACTCTGTCGATACTTTCCCTTCTGCTTTCAATCCCGCTGACCTCAGATCTGTTTGCTCTGTTTGTCTGAGAGCCAGAAATGTTCTGTGTGACAAAACATCTGCAGCACTGTCAGGTGGCAGAGGCGATAATAGCAATCAGGAAATAATCTTCATTAATGTTTGCTCTCCCCTTGACCCACCAGAGCCTGACTGTGACCCCAAAGGTCAGAATCACAAACGTGCATGAAGCCACACAATGGGTGGCAAGAGCATTCCCCTGCAGCTGTGACCATGTGATTACCAGTCTTCTTTATTACTATGTCAAACAAACCACACACACACACACACACACACACACACACACACACACACACACACACACACACACATGTGCAACATTCTAAACATCCTCTTACTACAAAGAACACACACACACACACTTGCACCATGCTGCCATCCAGCCCTGAGGACACAAACTACTGGAGCACCAGGGGAGAGAAAGGGGAGTGCAAACAAACTCTCCCCAGGTCCGGGGCTCCAGTTTCAGCCTTCCGTCCTCCGTGGCTGGGGGGCCATGGGAACATGAAGCGCCAGGGGCCCTGTGTCAATAAGGAGCAGTGGTTCAACACAATGGAGGCCTGCCTGTAGACAACACCGCTGACAGACACCCACACAAAAGGGGCTGTGAATGGGAAGGAGGCTAATGTGCACGCTCATGCTCATGAACACATTCGCGCGCGCGTGTGTGTGTGCAGATACACTCATAGCTACACAGCAGCATTCGTTCCCAAGGAGAAGAAAACATAATAAAATTAACTTTCAGCCTAAGTAGACTGAACTTTTAATCCATTTGTTGCTAAATTCTGGCATTTATAAAATATAAAAACATGTAAAATTAAAAAATTCATATAGTTCAAATCCAGTTATGATCGTGTTTTATCTTCAAATACTCGTTTTAGGACAAAAATGTGTTGACTTTTCTCAGCTGGAAAAGCAAAAATGCTCTTTTGCTTAATGCAATTGTTTTTGTTAAAAGATGAATAAATGAAGCCTAAACTTTCCATAACAAAAAATTGTCAACAGGTCTCTGTAGTCACTAACTCAGCCACCCGAGTGACTGCAAGGGCTGGTATTTTTCCATGGGAGGAAATGTAAAGATAGGTGCTGCCACCTGGTGGACAAAAATATTACTGATGTTTTTACCGCATCTGAACAGCAGGTGGCAGCACTTCTGAAAAACAACATTTCTACTTGTTCTAGTGATTAAAAACATCTGTTCATGGTGAGTAAGTCAGACATTATTTGTTTTCGTAAGATTGGTATTCTATTTTTAAAATGTATAATTTTAAACTTTTACAAATATTTAATCTTTTAATTTCAGTATTATATTATTTGTATAACTTTTTAAACTATTATATAATTAATTATAAACAATATTTTTTATTTTATTAATATTATGATAAAGCATGTAGTAATATATTAAGCAAGGCAAAAATCAAATAAAAATATAAATATAATTGTTTTCTGAACAATTACGTGGTATTAAAAAGGAGTGGGTCACCATAAGATATTTTACTTCATCCCACTCCTTTTTGGATTTGTAAATAAAATAATTCGGAGTATGATTTATTTTTTATTTTATTTAATATTTTTTTATTTGCATATTTTGATTATGTGTTTGTTCTTTTTTCTTTACACGTTCAAAATAAAAAATGTTCAAACTTTAATTAAAAAATGTTCAAACTTTATTTAAAAAAAATAGGTGTTTCAGGGTTGTAGTTAATCACATTTTACAAATCCAAAAGCTTTATAAGATCAACGCTTTGTTGTCTTAAAATAATTTGTCTGAATATATTTGTTTTTCTAATCTTTATCGTGTTTGTACAGCAAATCAAATACGGAGGCAAAAGTGAGACAAAAAGGTAAAGCAATATCAAAGTTTTATTTGTAAAATGTAGTATAGAGAGGAACAGTAGTACAATTCAGGCAGAAAAAAGGAGAATGTAGTTCCATCTTTGAAAACCTTTGATAAAAACGTAAAAAGAGTAACCTGAATTTGCTTTTTGTGTTCGGAGGGCACCGAGGCTCGGCCCAAACATTGCATCACTGTTAGAAGTACGAGAGAGAGACATTGAAAAATACAACCTTTTGCAACAACAGCGTAAAAAAATACAGTTGGGAAGAAAAAAACTTCTGCTTTACATCTGTAGTGTTTTTGCCGTTTTTTTATTCTTTATTTTTTCCTTACGGGTGTGTTTTTGTTTGTTTTTTGTCCATATAACAAATACAGCATAAAATCGTTCATGATACAAAGTTCTGGCGTTTCATTCGTTACAGTAGAATCAGTAGGATGGTAAATAGTATAAAAAAAACATAACGAGATGGTGGGATGAACGAGTGAGCACACAGCGTGAACGGAGAGAGAGAGAGCGCGCGCAAGGTCAAAGTTCACAGAGATAAACCACCACAGAACGTCTGTAGCTAACTCAGTGTGTTCCTTTAAGTAAATCCACTAGAATATATTCTTCATATATATATATTTATCTCATATATTCTCCACATATATTTATATATATATATATCAGCATCACAGCCTCTCCCACAGTGATTCAAAGGTAAAAGTGACACAAAGAGGATGAATATCTCTAAAATATATCTTCTTCCGTTGAGCGTAAAGAGGAAGTTGCACATCTTCGGTATCATTAGCACTTCAGTACATGTACTGAGTTTTGACTGCATACGAACAGATACTGCTGTTCCGAGGTTTTAACCCACACAAAACAAGAAGTGTTTCTTTACAAAACATGTGCTTAATGAAATGACGAAAGCTGGACACACATTTGTGGAAAAAGGACAAAAAAAAAAAAGAGCTCAAAAATAAAGTTTTAGGGTGATTTTGTAGCATGAAAACGTTTAAAAACCGCAACAATTACAGACACGAGCAAGGATTTCTCTACACTACGCAAGTATTCACCTGGCTTTTCGCATACATTAGAATTAGACAAACAATTTTGGTTGGACAAATAGAAATTAACAGTCTTGATTGCATTGTGGAGTCTATATATATATATATATATATATTAAATAACAAAAAACATCTATTAATAGGATAAAAAAAAAGAAAATGCGCACTGGAAGGAAAGCAATGAATTATTTAAGGTATAGTTCCATTCAGACCCGCTTTTTGGGGAAACAAAAAAATATTTCAAAATAAGTGCATGTCTATGAGGCGCCGGAGAGTGTTTTCTGCCTGAGCCGCCTTAAAAAAAATTTAAATAAAAATACACACTGAAGAATAAAACGAATCAAACTGATGACATTTCTGTTCAAAAATAAAAAAATGGAGTTTTTTTAGACTTAAAACGTCACACATCATGATTTCCGCACCCCCCCCCCCCCAAACTAATGTTCAAGTGATTCAAAATATAATTACTTTAAACCTCAGTACCAAATATAAACATACAGGTGTCCACTTAGGTCCTCAGAATTACAAGTACTGCTTCTACAAAATGGTATGTCTGAGTGTGTGTTAAATTAAAAGCTTAAAAACAACAATGGCATCAAAAGCATACCTGATAGTCGCCGAAGCACAACAGTGTTCTATAGTTGAAGCTGATTACATAATGCATAACTGAGTCAGTTTAAGCTTTATGATTATACACATAGAGCCTGTAGGTCCAGTATTCTGCAACAAGCATTACAGCACCAAACGGGTCAGCATTTGGCAAAATTCAAGCTTTAAGTGAAAGTCTAAATGCTTTTAATAATAATAATAATAAAGTGTTACTGTGACGCCGTGATTTGTATAAAGCTAGCAATAACATTTCCCCTCTTTCTTTACTCATTTTACCCCATTTAACAACAATTTTATTTATTTTTTATCATCTTAAGTATGTTCAGTAGTTCTGGTTTCCTGCTAAATCTTGGTGTGCGGTCTGTTTGGCACAATACCACAGCCCTCTTAAGTTAATCATAAATACGGCTGTGATACATTAGAGTCGCTAAACAGATTTTTTTGGTTCCAAGATTCGCGCAGGAAAAAAAAAAAAAGACAGAAAAGATTAATAATATTTAGCGCATCTAGGACGAGATCTACGGAGCAGGTTTAAATCCTCCTGTGGACAATAACGCTCTTCTTAGACGGAGGACAGAGACGGCGTCTCTGCTCAAACACACACATAAAAAAACAGAATTATAGCATTTAATAAGACCATTATAACCTCTCTTCATAAATTAAATTATTAACATTTCTTTCAGATGATTGGCCTAAATTACTTCGACACAATTACATCACCCCCCGCCCCCCCCCCCCCCCCCCCCAAAAGAAGAAAAAGTACATCACCAAAAACCTGATTTATCAGAATTCGTCGTTAGAATCATTCTCTTGTGAGCGCTGGGCCCAGAGTTGGACACATTTCAATAATAATAATAATAATAATAAAGATAATAATAAAATCTGTACATCTCGGAGTTCCCATTCTAACAAAGCTTTAAAAAAATCATTTCTTTGTCATGAACTTGCACAATTAAGTAACCTGGAGGTTTGATAGCACTTTGGAGTTGATTGTTTACCAGCTAGATTTTGTGTGTACATATATATATTAAACATCAACTTTAATTTGTTTGTCAAGCTTGTTTAGTTTTTCTTTTTCAGTCCTCCACAGGGGCACCACCAGCGTTGCCCTCGCCCCAGTTTGATTGGTCGTTGTCGGTGGGCTCCTCCCCGTACTCCCCCTCCTCCCCGTCGAAGTCTTCGTCCCGAGGAAACTCCATGCCCTCCAGGCCCTCCTGAGTGACTTGCTGCGAGTCGGCGCAGTCCGCGCAGTCGGCGCACACGCCGTAGCGCCGCGAGCCGTGATGGATGCCCACGCTAGCCGCTAGCATGAAGATCTTCTTGCACACCATGCATTTGTATTTTTTGTCTTTCTTGTGCACCTGAAGGAATGAAGATGGAGAACGTGAAGGAAATGGGGAGTCAGAATGGGAAAAGAAGCAAAGCTCACGTTTCTTAGTGAATTAAAGCCGACCCAAATAAGCCAAGAGCCGAGCCACTCCTGATTTATCTGCTTGGTTGGCTGATGAGACGATACCAGGGAAGAGCAGCACCAAGCTGCTGACTTCATTTGCCTAAACTAGCCAGCGCCCCGGGCCTCGTGGAAATGCAAGAGCTGCAGAGGCTCTTTTAGCCTTTAATGTGTGTCTGAGGCTCGTTCTCCATGACGGTTTTTGGGTAAAATGTCATGATTTTATTTAGAGTTTTGACTCGAGGGATCTGGGATGTTCACATCACCCAACCAAGGTCCAGACACAGAGGTAACGGAGCCAGGAAGGGACTCCCAGTTCAACTCTCCAGCATTCCCAGACCAGAGAGGATATAAGATCCTTACGGTTCCTGGAGAACGTTGGGAGGGAGGCGACTAGGAGGCATGGAATGAGGAGCAGTGTTTTATGCAGAGCTAATCAGGACTTTCCACCAGATGCGTAACGAATGGTTTTTCCCCACAGGAGCTTTTCCTGTGGGAAAACGCATTCTACTTAGCTGGTCCCGAAGTCGCAGGAGAATTTCAAGATCACGTGTGATTTTGGCCGTTCACACGATAACTAATAGGGATGTAAGAAAATATCGAAATGGCAATGTATCGTGATATTTTATCCTGTGATATTGTATCGATATTCAAAAGCTGTATATCGGAAATATTGATATGGTAATATATGGTGATATTTTATCCTGTGATTTTGTATTGATATTCAAAATCCATGTATCAAATTTTTTTGGACGAATTTACATGCAAATATTTGTGTATTTTCTTTTTTTTTGGTGCAATTCAAACGCAGACCGCTAGTTGGCAGCAGTGAGCAATGCATTTTGTTTCCACCATTGAAATGTAAATCCCTCTGCTATGGTTCAGATACCTGGCGTTAAAAATGTTAAGTGTCAGTTTGGACTAGGGCTGGGCAATAAATCGAAAATTTATCGTTATCGAAATTTCTGACTCTTATCGTGATGTTCCCATGTCAATAAATTCGATAATAAAGAAATGAAAAGATGTGTAGGTTGGTAATGTTCATATCCCTTTAAGAAGCTGTACCACCTTGAGTCACGTAAAAATGTGATTCAAGTAATACATGCGACAGCCCCATCTAGTGGACAACTTTTGTTTCTGTGCATACCTGTAGTTATCGAGGTGAAATTCTCAATCATCGTGATACTGATTTTAGGTCATATCGCCCAGCCCAACAATACATTCAGTCTAAAAAAAATTGCTAATATCGTCTGACTGAATGTATCGCAATATATCGTGATATGTTGTATCGTCTCCCCTATATCGTGATACTTATCGTATCACCAAAATTTCACCAATACACATCCCTAATAACTAACATGGAAAAAGACGACAGCTTGTGTCCAAATGGTCTTTGTTCCATTTGCTTTTCTTTAACCTCGGCTGCAGAGGCGTCACAGGTAATGACGGATTTGTTTTACCAGTTAAAGGTGTGAGACACTCGTTTAATAAATCCATCTGCAGTGGGCTCTAGTAGGAAGGAATGTCTTGTAAGTCGTACTTGGAGGGTACGCGACTTGACCACCGACTCCATTTGTTCTGCAACGTTGATGTTTTATCTCCACAAATAACAAAAGCCTGGAGGAGTTCTGCGGTGTGGTGGCGTTGCTCATGCTAACGGGTAGCTTCTACTAGCCAAGATGTTCTCTGCTGCTTCCTGGATGCTAAACCAACAAAAGCCTTTCTCGTCGTGAGTAAAGCTGGGTGAGTCCAAGAATGTTAGTGACAGTGTGACGTAGATCTATCAGGATGTTCTAATCCTAGAGTTTCACCATCTGTTTTCTATCAGAAGCTAATGCAGGAGATAGGTGTAGGAGACTATTTCATGTTCAGCCTACATGAAAAACAAAGAGTGACCCATTAGAATCAGAAATAATCATTAAAAATTATTAGTCAGTGTTCCGCACCTTTAAGCAACTGGAAATCTACACAAGACTTTTATTTTGAAAGTTTCCACGTGTTTCACACCGCCCTCGTGTTTGATTTTTTTTCTTCCTGGAACCACCTGAACGGCTGAGCTTGTCTCGTTCTAGAAGCCTACCTTGTAAAAATGAGAACCAAAGAGTAAATTAAGCAGAGCAACGCAACACTCCACTTGTGAGACACGTCTGATGGCCGGTGGAAACGCACCCGTCGACTAACGGCGGCCATAACTACGTACTACAACCCGTGGACGTTATAGGACGATTACGCTTCTGGTGGAAAGCTGGAGTTATCTCCACTAGGTCATATCCAAATCTGGTGACCGTAGGTGAAGGTCATGATGGTCCATCCTGCTTCACGCCCCCCATCACAACACCATCACACCTAAAAGAGATTCACAAATCCCCCTTTTTGGTCTCCCACCTCTGACACTAAGGAACTAACTGATCAATCCAACTTTTTGCAACAACTTTTTATTTATTTTACAAATTCAGAGGTTTTCCAGAGGAAGCCCACTCTTTTGGAACAGAAAGTACAGTTTTGTACCAGTTTGTGAGTGACCCACCAAAACTCCCTAATGGAAAAAAAAAAAAAGCCTGATAAAATCCCAGAAGACTGCATCTGTGCACTCACTCCTCTGAGCGGAGCTGCCAGACACACGAGGAGGTGTGGAATGAAGGGAGTGAGGTTAGCGTGCATGCTCACCAGGGAATGTCTCTTCACGTGCTCGCGGCGGGTGAACAGTTTGCCACAGATGTCACAGCTGAAGGAGCGCACACCTGAGTGGATGATCAGGTGCCTCTTGAGTGTGCGCCGGTGCTTGGCGATGTAGTTACAGTGGGGGCACTTGAGCTTATTGAGAGCTAGGTGTGAGGCCTCACCTGAGCAGGAAGGAGAAAACACAGAGACGGGAGAGAGGTCAGCCGGAGACGGAGGATTTAATCTCAGCTTCAAATCAATGAGATGTTCCAGTCAGTCGCAACGGCCAGATGAAACATCACAGCGGTCGTAAATGTTACATTTCCATTTGAAGATGAGCCGATGAGGGTGTGTGTGTGTGTGTTAGGAACATGTGTGTGTTAGGAACCAATATCCTGTTCATCGAATGGCTGCGCTAGGATGCGGTGGCCATTAGTGCAAATACAAACCACCAACTCTGAGATGAGCCCCAAAAAAAAAAAATCACATAATACCATCAAAGTCCTTTTATGGCTGTTGCTAAGCAACCAATAACTGCACAGAAAAGATGGTGGAAACCAACAATGACGCTTGCCAGCAAATATTCTCATTCAGAAGCACAAATCTAGGATTTAAATGACAAACTACGACTAATAACCATTAATAACAGTTCGTTTTGGATATTTTCTTTACTGGTTATTAGAATTACAGCTTTAGTAACACATTTATGCGTTATTTCATTATGACTATAGGTGCATTTGCGTCTGATTTTGTTCATTTACGCTCTAAAAGGTGTGTGAAAGGAGACAGGCGGGTTCAAATGTGAGTTTTGAGGGAAAAAAATAAGATCTTTATTTGTTTTCTCGGTGAGAGAGCGGGGCGCCGTCTCTTTGTTTGAGACAGAGGCGTTGTTAAGGTGGCTCGGCCAAGGGGCGAGGAAGGGGGGGGATGGTTGATAAGAAGCAGGTCACCTGTGTGAGTGTGTGTGTGTGTGTGTGTGTGTGTGTGTGTGTGTGTGTGTGTGTGTGTGTGTGTGTGTGTGTGTGTAAGTGTGTAAGTGTGTGTGTGTGTGCTTTAAACACAGCCGTGTAGAGGTGCAACAGTTAGTTAAGGCTCTAAGCGTTAAGCAGAAAATGACCTGATCTTTATGGTCTGTTATTACGCAGACAGAGCAGAGAAACCACGATGAAAGTATAAAAAAGAAGAAGGGGAATGGTAGTGAGTATGAATCATTTCCATTATTTCTCGACTACATCCACCCAGCCTACCGCTAAATTCACAAAACACTGCAAACACGTTTAAAAAGCAGGATTAAATCCAATTAATCCATTTTCTCTACACTGGGCAGGGACTTTTAGCCACTGATTCAATTGTAACGAAAAGTAGAGACGCATCAATTCTGCTTTTTATGGAACAGTATTGATTTACTTTTTTTAAAAGTAGCAAAAAAAAATCCATTTATGAACTCTTCCAAATGTCTGATTAAATCAAAGATTCGCCTCAGCAGCTCGCTAACAGGTAGCTTTGAGAATCAAAGACAGATCCTCGTTCAATTCTTTGCTTATTTTGATTCATCTAAAAAAATTGACGCTTTGCATTTTACAGATAATAACCATATAATTAAGGAAGAAGCAGTTAAGAAAATAAAGGCTCGTGTTTATTCGGTCACATAACGTCTGATGCTAAACGCTCCAGGTTAACTGGGACACCAGGAGTTTAACAACTCCTTTTGTATCATTAACGGTCTTAAATGATAACCTTTTGTCACTTTTGATCGATTGGGGGATAATTTGCTTAAACTATTTAAAAATACAACCATTTTGATAAATCATTCCAAGCTGGAGTCTAGAGAGTGGCTTCTTACCATTCTCCCAGGTCTCTCCTTGCTGTAAGTCTTGGATGATGCTATACTGGATCTGATTGGCCAGCTCTGGGAAAAGGGGGAAAGGGGGAAGAGGGGGAGGTAGAGAGACAGGTGAGAGGTGGTTGTGAACCTGTGTGGGGAGGGGGAGGGGGTGCACACCTCACAATGTCCTGTGTACACAACCACCCCCCACCCCCCAGGACTGAATACAATGGACGTTTCTGCAAACACAAAGTCCCAGAACCCCACTGTATGTAAAGCAGCTGGCGTCCCGAGGCGTCGCTACAAGCTAACCGCAGCTAACCGGGTTTCCAGCGGGGAGGGGGTTAATTAGAGGATGACAGAGCTGAGCATTCACACCGGCTCATCTTACACCCTGCTTTTGTACACCTGTGTACGTGTGTGTGTTCTTCCTAAAGCAGCAGTGCTGAGAGACCATTAAGGACACACCCCTCTGTGTGTGTGTGTGTGTGTGTGTGTGTGTGTGTGTGTGTGTGTGTGTGTGTGTGGTGTGTACTCATTGTCCCTGGGTCAATATTTGAAATAGTGAAGGTAGCCCCAGTGCATTAGAGTGGATTAGAGAATGAAGGGACAGCCCCTGGCAGCTTTGCACCTCTCATGGATTTTTTGGGGGTGGGGTGTGTGTGTGTGTGTGTGTGTGGGGGGGGGGGGGGGGGGGGGTTTGCTTGGGTGTGTGCACCTCAGAGTAATGTTCATGCAAATGCCCACCTGCTCTCTCTCTCTTTCTGTGTGTGTGTGTGTGTGCGTGCACGCGTGCGCGCGCACCTCCCAACAATTCAATAGTCTTGCTGGGAGAAGGCCTGAGTATTTGCTGGCTGTAGGAGCTGGAAACGAGGCTTAACGTAATAAAATACATCAGTTATGAACTTTTATTCGGAAACGTCACTTTCAGCTGCTCTTATTTCTTCAGGTGGCATTAGAATGCGGCTCTAAACTCCATCAGCAATCGTGTAAAAAACGTAGGTGTTTTGGAGTAAATTAAACAGGAATAAAGCCGAGTCTACTGTGGAGGCATCAGCGGAGCCAAACGACGGCATTGCTGCTTCAGAGAGAATCCATTACAGTCTATGGGCTTGATCCAAACCGGCCATGGCGCGGATCGTTTCAGGTACGTCCCAGAATCAGACCCCCGCGCCGCTAAACATATGATTGGGTTCTTTTCTTGCTGCGAGCCGCTTCTGGGATGCATTATTTCTGCAGTGGAAAAAACCCGGTAACTGTCAAAATAAAATATGTAGATTACATCTGTCGGCCCATTAACTACCAGCATCTTTGGAGAAGTGTGACGGTGTGTTTTTCATGGATTTAATCCTGGTAGGTGAGAGAGACATTAAATTGGACATCAAAAAGTGAAATCAAAACGTGATCTCAGTCTTCTTTTTGGTTTAATGGTGGATGGCGTAAACAAACCGTGACCTCTGAGGTCTTGAGGGATTGTGATCTCACGAGTCCGGAAAGAAGGACAGCATAGATGCGTTCTCGTTGCTTACTAACTTTAGGTATGCACTGTAGTGTAACAGGGTATCTGCAGGTTTAAGGGAGCCAAATTTAAGACTTTTTAAGACCTTTTTTAAGGCCACTTTGACCAAATTTAAGCTTTTTTTTAAATTAAATTTAAGCTATAATTTCCAGCTATTCCCTGGAACCGGTGCTAACCACGCCGTGAATGTGGGATTAGCCATCCAGTTACCATTAATGTTGCACTTCCCCATGGCGCAAACTCCCACTAGCGTGCTCATCTAAAAATAGCCCCCTTTCACAGCCAAAAGAATGTGTACGGTTCCGCTTACGCCAGTATCATACACAAAAAATGCCAAACTAACTAGAAATTCACGAAAATTTTATAGAAATAAAATAATCTTGTTTATTGGGTCTTTGGTAATTTAAGACCTTTGGAAACTATTTAAGGATTATTTGTCATTTTTAAGGATTTTTAAGGCCTTAAATTTGGAAAAACTAATTTAAGACTTTTTAAGACTTTTTAAGGACCTGCAGATACCCTGTGTAAAGCACTTTGGAGGCCTCTGAAAGGCGCTACACAAGTGCGTTTATCATTTAAAAGTTGCAGGGTTTTATGCTATTTGAGCAACACTTAGGACACAGATTGAGACGCTTACAAGGAGGATGGCAATAAATCATCCGTCTATGCAACAGAGCCAATTAGAGCTGGATGGTGAGAAAAGTCATAAATGTCCCGTCTATTAGTGTGTTACAACAGAAATGCTACAGGGTGAAACCTTTCCCAGACTAGACCGGTTTAATAGGTGACAACATATAAACGGAATAAATCTAGTCATAAATCTCTAACGCCTTTGATACGGGGCTTTAAAACAAACTTAAGTGGGAAGCCTTTCTCCCGCTGGAATTAAGGAACTGCTTATGCTCACTGACATCTGGCATTTGCTGTGGTTGGGACCGGGCCAACGGATTGTAGTAGTAGAAGTTAGGGCCCGACCGATATTATTCAATTACCCATTGCAGATAACATTACGCTAGACTGGGAAGGATAATTGTCACCGAGTTTGGTTTTTCTGAACAAACTGAAGCACTAATCCAATAAAATAAAAGCTGATGTCACATCTATAATTTGCATGGTGGGGCAGTCATCACATTGTAAGGAGGTCATAGGTTTAAATGCTAACTGTGGTAACACTCGGTGCAGAGTTAGCATGTTTTCCACAGGCATGAGTGAGCTTTCTCCAGTTTCCTCTCAGACATGCAACTTGTAAGATGGACCAAGACAACACCACACGCAGGTCTTCTGTCTGATCACAAAATATTAAAGCACTTGCTTCCACAATGGGGGTTTCATCGTTTGAGGTTTATTGCTAGAAAATGTGCTCTAATATCAATGACAGGAACTTTATTTTAGAAACGTGGCATGGCCTAAAAGATTTTCAATGCCAATCCAGATCTGGATCCAGAATTCACGTTTAGATTTTATTGCGACTGGTAGAGGTAGGGCTGAATGATCCATCGTTTCCTGCTCAAAACTGTCTTTCAATCAACGCGACCGCATGATTGTCAAAGCTGCGACTCTTCGCTGCACTGCTGACTGAACCGGGATGTGTTTCATCAACTAGTCTATACACCCCACTAAGAGTGTTGGAGGTAGCAGCAAACACATGGTGGGGCAAGCATCCCTTACCTTTAGTTATCATATTTAGTTTATTATTGGGCTACGGTTGCACAGGAGCTTGCCCCGTAATCAGAAGGTTGCAGGTTCGAGCCCCACTCGGTCTGTCGCTGCCATTGTGTTTTTGGGCAAGACACTTAACCCACCTTGCCTGCTGGTGGTGGTCGGAGTGTACGGTAGACTCGCCTTCGTCAGTGAGACCAGGGCAGCTGTGGCTACAATGAAGCTCATCACCACCAGGGTGTGAGTGTGAATGGGTGAATGGCTGATTGTGTTGTAAAGCACCTTGGGGGGGGGGGGGGGGTTCTAGGATTCTAGAAGGCGCTATATCAAAAACAGGCCATTTACCATTTATTAGAGTGCTAATGTTCTCATGTAATTTTATGTCATGTTGGTTAACGTTACTATAAATTGTGTATTAAGGTTGGGGGACTGGACGAATTATTTGACCATCTGTGACTGGCCAAGCCCTTCACTGATAATCTTTTTTAATGAGCTAATTGTTTTATGTATATGAATTAGTCTCTCGGATGGGTCATTGAAAACGTCAAATTGCAAGTTTTTTTTGCAACACATGTTCTACATGCATACAGATATTACAAATCGTTTGAAAGCTAAAATCCGTTTGGTTCCATAACTGCCGACAGTAAACAGTCAGAAATCCAAAAATAACATCTGACTCACTGTTCTCATCTCCAACAAGAATGGTCTCACATCCACAAGTCCAAGAAAAGTACGTCCATAACAAGACTTACAATCACAATCCAACATAATTTACAGTGGAAAACATTAAAAATTTCCTTTAGATGCGTCTCTCTGGTAGACTCCATTAGCACCTCTATGTTAGCTTCAAACATTTGATTGACATCTTTCTGAACCAATAGCTATTGGCTTACAGGTCTGAAGTACTGCCCTCTATTATCATAGGTGACGCACGGACAAACTGTAGCGCGGTTTAAAGCATTAAACAACCAAATAAATGGAAAACAATGAAAACTCACATGGAACGTTCATGCCCAACTCAGTCAACGTCTCCTGTTAGTCGTCATTTTTGGGAGTTTTTTTGTGCATCACACAACCTTATTGTAAAAATTGTGCTAATGCTCGATTTGAAGGAAATTGTGAATTTGATTGACTCATTAACTGCCAAAGACGACTTAAGTTGTCATTTGCATTTTTTTTTCTGTGTGGGCGTCGGAACGAGCCCCCGCACCATGAGAGCAAACATCCCAGCTCTGAAGCTGATCTTAATCCACGTACGTCACATGTCACACAATCAGGAAGCAGAAAATCCATGTGTTAGGAGATCATTTTGGGACGCTGCTGTAAACAAAGTGAGGCGCGAACCAGAAAAGCTTCTGCCGATCACAATCAACAACGGATCACTAAAGAATGAATAACGCTCGAAAGGCGTGGATTCTTCCTGATGTAAGAGGTGAGTCTTCTCTTTGTTTTGTTTGTTTTCGCGTTGACATCATCATAGAGCGCAATGTTCTGTGACTCTTAAAAAAAAACTGTGAAACGGCTGGCAGTGAATGAGTTCATATTGCTATTTCTGCCAGAAAAAAAATAAATCCAAGCTCTTCCTAAAGTCATTCAGCCTAAGTAGAGGTATGCATCATGGACATCCCTAGCTCCAAGTCATGGCTGCCAAATATTTTGATCCACCAAAGTATGATGGACATATTAATGATTGCTTTTCATTCTTTCTTTCTTTTACCCTGTATGGGTTATTATGTTATATGTTTATCTGGAAAATGTGTACAACTAAAATAGAAAGACGGAGGTAGACAGTCAAGACGGGTGGAGACTCGGAAACAAACCGTCTTTAAGAGGGCGTCTCTCTTGGCAATTACAACACACTGGATCTCTTCTTGCACACACATTAAAGAACCATAGGAGGAGTTGG